GAAGTGCCCCGCCCTTGCCCCCTCCCGGCTACGTCATCTGCTCGGGTTTGCCCTCCGGGGCTTTTGTTCCCTGCGAGCTTTCCGTACAGCTTTGGAGGCGGAGAGTGAAAATGGCGGCCTCCCAATCTCCGCCCCGGAGGAGCCGAGAACTCGGGGCCCCGCTCCTCAGTGAGCCCCCAGAGAAAAGCCGTCAGTCACTCCCGTCTCCCCGGTCTGCAGCTGCACTCCGTGCTCAACCGGCCTGTGACCACGCGTTTCTATCTCTGGCACCGGACCCGGTCTGGAGTCTCCAAACCCAGCAGATCCCTGCGGTGCCCTCCCGCGCGGCTCCTCCCCGGGGAGGAAGGTGAGTCTCCCCGGATCTGCCGCTTGTTGGGTCCCTGCTGGAGGAGCAGGGGCCCGACTGTGCCGCGGATCGCGGTTAATGGCAACCCCGAGCTGAGAGCCCGCGCCTGGGCTCCGCCTCCGCAGCCGGCTTCCCTGCTCCGATACCTGGGAGCTCTGCCACACTCAGGCGCCCCCGGTCTTCCTGTGACCCCGAGGGTCCTGAGACCACACTGTCCCGGAGGGTTCCACCCCCCGCTTAGCAACCAGAGTGATGTCCCTCAGCGGAGCCGACTTCTAAAAGTTCCGATTTTGTGCTCCGTGGTTCTATCACTTGCCAGAAGCGGCCAACGGAGGCCCCTCCCCCGCCTGAATATCGCCTGAATATCGCCGCGGATTCCCTTCTCCGCACGTCCTACCTTCCAGAAAGTGGTCGCTTTTCTGATGAGAGAGTTGTTGCTCTTCTTTTCTTCGATCTCCTGTTGGGTTTGTAGGTGTTCAGAATGGTTTGATCCCTATCCAGCTGAATTCCTGAGAGGAGACGAAATCCAGGTCTCCTACTCCTCCGCCATCTTGCTCTACATCAAGATTTTATTTATTTGACAGAGAGAGACAGCGAAAGAGGGAACAGAAGCAGGGGGAGTGGGAGAGGGAGAAGCAGGCTTCCCGCTGAGCAGGGAGCCCGATGCGGGGCTCGATCCCATGACCCTGGGATCATGACCTGAGCCGAAGGCAGACGCTTAACGACTGAGCCACCCAGGCGCCCCTAGATATTAAGTTTTAAAGGAGAGTCCTACCTTTGACCCAGTGCCTATGCTTTTGGGTAAAGGGAGACAAGCTTTATGATCAAAGATGTCCAGAATAATCTGGGAATAGTGTAAGTGTCTAATGGCATGAGAATACTTGCAGAAATTATGCTGTAACAGAACCATGGCACGCAAATGCAAAAAGTAGGTTTAAAAAGAGTTTTAAAGCAACATGAAAAGGCATGGCCTAGGCTTGTAAATTCAATCAGTGTTTCAAAAGTTTTATAGATTCCAAATTTTCCATAATATAAATACTTGTTAATTTATATTTAGAAAAAATGTTATAAAATGTCACATCTTGGAAGGCCCTCCTAGTCTCCTTGCCCTCCCCCAGTGTCCCCCACAGGGGCTGCCTTATTGTGGCCAGGCCTCCCTGCCTTTGAGATCTCCGCTGGGCTAAACTCCCCCAAGAAGTGCACTCTTGTCAACTCCCAGCTGAGCCGTATGTAGTTGGTGGTAGATTTTTTGGTCAGGTCCACCTACTTGGGGGAAAGTGGTTTCTATGGTTGCTGCAGGTTCTCCTGTTCAGTTCAGCAAATTTCCTCATTTCCTGTCACCATGCTATCAGCCCAGGCTTCTGTCTGATCCGTGACTCTTACATTCTTCCAACAAAAAGCTGAAAACAACAATCAGCTGGTTTTCAGAATGACTGAAAAGTCATGAGGATCTCTGGCCAAGACAAACAGGCTGATGAAGCTCTCAGTCTTGGCGTGGTTTGGACAGCAAGGCCAGGCATGGGCGTCCAGGTGGAGAGCCAGCAAATAGCAGCATGGTGGCCCTTGGGGAATGGGAGCGTGTCTCGTTGGCGGGCTAGGGGGAGGCACAGCTGGTCCGAGAGACTCTTTCCACTGGCAGGCATGGTCCCCTCCTCCATGTGGGTCCAAGGCACTCACTCCATGGCAGCATTCCTGCTTTGATGACACGTTTCCCAGTTGGAAGAAAATCAATCCATGAAAATCTGCTTCTGACTCCTGTTCTTTTCTCAAAGCACATCAGCTGCAGAACAAGCCGGATCTTGGGCAGATCACGGAGCCCATGAGCTGTCCATGTGAATATTTTCAAACATAAAAAGGAGGCATACTGGCCTCTGGCTTGTGTCTCAAGCCTTTGAATTAGCAACTCACTCGCCAAGAACGTGTTCCGAATGGCTGGTTTGCGTGGCAGGGGATAGTTCTTTGCAGATTCAAAATCTAGATTACTACCAGAAAATGTAAAGCGTCTGGTGATTTGGGAAGTAAACCCTTTCCAGATTTAATTGAGAACCCATGTGACTCCCAGAGCTACAAAGAGCACATGCTGGCTGTCGAGTGAGAGTGTGGCTAACGTGGCACCGTTGCCATGTGTTAGTATGGGCGTCCTGAAAACAGACCTTGATGCCAGTCACTGATTTGGAGGGGAGCCAGATGAGGAGCGGGGCAGGGAGGGGAGCTGACAAGGGTTTAGTGAGCTGGTCCCTGCTGTGGACTTTGGGGCTCAGCCTGGAAATCCTCTGAGGAATTTCTGGGTGTCTATTGACTGACTCCCATCCTTCACCACCCTGGCTGTAAATCCCTGGTATTTCTGGGCTGCCCTACCTAGAGCTAAGTAAGCTCCCATGGCCAAAAAAAGCCCCCAGGTAGAGAAGCAGGGAGAAGGGGCAGCTGAGGTGCACAGGACTGTCCTCCACTGAGTGGGTAGAGTGTGCATGGGGGCATTTGTGTGTCTATGACACTCTTTTTCCCTCAGAAGCAGAAAGAGCCTAGAGATGCAGCAGGCAAATTGAATTCTAGAAGATTCCCCCACTCAAACTCAATCCATTAGTTGTGTGGTACCAGCCGGGTGTTGGGCAGTGTCCTGAGAGCTGGGGAATGGTAGGGAGCAAAGAGCTGAGTATCCCCACCCCTTGGAGTTTCCATGCACATAATCAATATGTGAACCACATAGCCTGTGATTATCTAATCATGAGAGTGACAGGAAAGAAGAGAAGAAACGAGGGTGGGGCTGGGAGCAGGATGGAGCCTCCAGTGTTAGATGGGGGCTGGGAGCACTCAGAAGGGGCCATTTGAGCCAACACGCGAAGCTTCATCATGGGCAGATCTGGGGGCCGTTTGGGCAGTGGCCATTGGCCACGAGGATTGCAGTCAGTGTGCCATCTTCTGGGACACTCAGTGCCACCTGGTCGGTGGCAGGACCGCCCATCACAGTGGGTCTTCCTGCTGCATGTGGGGCCGGGAGCAGATGGGCCACCCTGGACCTCACCCACTGAGTGAACCCAACATCTTCCCTGTTTTGATGAATCACGCACCCACCTCGGAGACTCATCCATCACGTGTCCTCTGATGGAAGCTGAATCACAATTGAGAGTTCAAGGAACACCCAGGTCAGTGACGAGTTGGGCAGGTAGCCATTTGTAAGATTAATTAGAGAAATTTTCCACCAAATGGGAGTTCTTGAGTCTGAGCCTATGGACTAGTTTCCTTGGGTTTCTGTAACAAATTACTACAAAAGTGGTGGCCTAAAACAACAGAAATTTATTCTCTTATAGTTCTGGAGGCCAGAAGTCTGAAATCCAGGCGTTGGCAGGGCCATGCTTTCCCGGGAGCTCTAGGGGAGCATCGCTCCATGCCCCTCTCCTGGCTTCTGCTGTCGCTGGCAATCCTTGGCATCTGTTGGTTTGGGATTGGCTGTCTTCACATCGGCTGTCTTCACATCGGCTCTTCTGTGTGTGATCTCCCTTTCCTTTCTTTATAAAAACACCTGTCATTGGGCCTGGGCTTACCTCCATCCATGGATGATCTCATCTCGAGACCCTTAACTGCATCTGCAAAGACCCTTTTCCTGAATAAGGTCACATCACAGGTTATGGATGGACATATCTTTTGGGGGCCACCATTCACCCTCTGCAGCTTGCATGGGAGGCTGAGAAAGAAAAGGCCTTAAAAAAATTATTTTCTACTTTTCAACCAATTAATATGGAGATAATCTCAGGGTAGCTCAGGGGCAGATGCAGAGGTCTGAAGGGTGGGCGAGGTGAAAGATGCAGGCATGGGCGGACTGGGGTCTCAAACTTTCTGCTGCTTACTCACCTCCAGCATCTCAGCCCCCATTTCCCCAACCCCACACCCTCTGCCAGAGTGTTTCATTGCTTCTTATTCTTGCAGTTGTCAAATGACAAGTAATATAGTGAAGTAAAGAAGCAAGACTTCAAGCCCGGCTACAGAGATTTGTAGCCTCAGGCAAATGGATCTCTGAACACTTCTGCACCTTATTTTGCCTGTCTGTGAAATGGAAATAATTTCTGCTTTATCCACTTTACCTTTGGTCAAGGATGCAACACAATCATATGTTGAAGTGTTCCGGAAATGACCAGGTGACATAAAAGTGTTATCTCATTAGAGACCAAACTGCAACGAGACTCAGGCTTTTCAGCTGTAAAATGGAAAAAGTCTGTGTATCATTGAATTCTTTGATGATTACATGGGATGATCTGTGTGATGAAAGCTGACATATTGGGATGCCTGGGTGGCTCAATCTGTTACGTGTCTGCTTCGGCTCAGGTCATGATCTCAGGGTTCTGGGATCGAGCCCCGCATCGGGCTGCTTGCTCAGCAAGGAGCCTGCTTCTCCCTCTGCCTGCTGCTCCCCCTGCTGTGCTCTCTGTCTCTCTGTCTCTGACAAATAAATAAAGTCTTAAAAAAAAAAGCTAACATATTAAAGGTGTTAAGTAACATCAATTGTAATAATACCACTTCAAACTCTGTGTTACCCCTCTAGGATAATGTTTTGGCTTGTAAAATTATTTTAGCTATTACACGCTTAGAAGAAAAAAGCAGAAAATGCAGATGAAGCAAAAATAAGAAAAAAATTACATTAATCAGAGATAATCTGTAATTAATATTTTATTATAGATCCTTCCAGATTTTCTCCATCAATATGAATATATAATCACTTTTATAAAAATTAGATCAACAAATATATTTCCAAATCATTATTTTTAATGCTTGCCTAGCATTCTGATGGACTCTTTATTATTGAACATTCAGGTTGATTTTTTTTTTTTTTTGGCTATAATATTACTGATAAAAACATGCTTATAGCTAAATAAATCCCTGCAACTGGAGGTGAATCTGGTCAAAGAACAAACTAGAAATGGAAATGTCAGGTCAAATGATGTGCATCTATCTATCTATCATCTGTAATTGTGGTAAAATATACGTAACAGAAAATTTGCCATCTTGATCGTTTTTAAATGTGCACTAAATACATCCACACTGTTATGCAGCTATCACCAACATCCATCCAGAACCTTCTCATCTTGCATAACTGAAACTCGGTCTGCTGAAACACTCACTCCCCTGACCCCGCCCAGCCCCTGGGGGCCTCCACTCTACCTTCCGTCTCCATGAGTGTGACTGCTCTTGGTCCCTCATGTAAGTGCGATCGCACAGAACTCGTCCTTCTGTGACTGGCTTGTTTCCCTGAGCACAGTGTCCTCAAGGTTCATTCATGCTTATCAGAGTTTGCTTCCTTTTTAAGGCCCGATGATATTCCATTGTGTGTGTGGACCACATGTTGACGATCCGCTCATCCTTCAGCGGACACGGGCTCTTCTACCTTTTGACTGTGGTGAAAATTGTTGCTCTGAACATGGCTGTAGAAGTATCTCTTGAATTGCTGTTTTCAGTTCTTTTGGGCAGATGCTCAGAAGTGGATGTACTGTGTATCACGCGGTAAGTCTGTTTTCACTTTTTAAGGAAACACCATACGGTTTTCCGTGCTGGCCGTGCACCGTTTTCCATTCCTACCAACTTCGCACAAGCGTTCCCATTTCTCCACATCCTTGCGAATACCTGCTGTTTTCTGATTTTTTTGATCGTAGCCATCCTAAGGGATAGGAGGGAAGATGTGCGTATTTTGAAATTAATTGGCAAAATATTCAGCAGAAAAGCAGTTCTTGGCACTCTTACCAACACTGGATAGAGCAGCCTTTCCCACCATCTTTATGAATGCAGAGCATCATTGCCAATTTTTTGATGGGCATTTGCAAGAAGAAGCATGGGCATGGAGAGCGGGGACCCAGGGGACCGTGCCTACCTGCCCACGAGAAAGACCCACCTGGCCACAACGGCACTCCCAGCTGCTTGGCCCTCTCCAGCTTTAGAACCCCGTGCTCAGACCAGGCCCAAATCGTGGCTCCTGAATTACAGCTTCTGTGTTTTCTTTCCAATATGCACACTGAAACCTTCACAAGATGCGAGAGAGGCTCTTCTGAGGACCAGGAGGTAAGCCAAGTGTCCCCAGGAAACAAACCTAGAAACCTGTCCAAAATCTGGGGTAGTCTGTGAGGGAGAAACAAGATCAACTGATTTATTGCTTCTGTTCCACACGAATGAAGTCGTGATTGCAAGGCTCTGATCCCCCAAACCTCTTAAATCTTCACAACTTAAAACCCAGCCGTACACAAAATTGTGTAACAGAACAGAAGTTCTTCTCCTGCCCCTGGGACAACCCCCTTCCCCTAATTGGAAAAGTAATGAGCATTTGGCTGTCACTGGATCATCTCAGGGCTCTTGACCTTGAGGAAATGTTACCTCACAATGGAGCTACGGTTGCCATTTTGATTTCATTGCTGAGTTCTGGGAACTGGTGGTTATTTCCAGATGATGTGGAAATCAGCGGCTAACTGACTTGAAAAGAGGTTAGTTAGACGAAAACTGGGCACCTGGTTATGCAGACAGACTGCTGCCAGTGACTTGTCCCATGGCTCTCATTTCAGCCAGCTAGCTTGACCCCTTGCTTGCGGTCTTCTGGACGGATCCTGCCAGATGCTCCCCCGCCACAGGCAGAGAGGCTTCCATGCCAGCCCCCTCAGCTCAAAGCCCTCCAGAGCAGCCCACTCTTGGCAGGCCACACTCCTAGGATGCCTCCTTCCCCAGGGCTGCAGCTTCCACTGGGGCAGGAAGGCCAGCTCAGTGTCCTCTCTGGAGCGATTGTCTGTCCCACCCTTTCACAATACTGTCAATCCTCTTCACTTGTGGATTCTGTATTTGCAGCTTGGCCTACTTGCTAAAATGTATTTGTAACCACAGACTCAACACTTGTGGTGCTTTCGGGGTCCTTTGTGGACTTGTGCGGAAGGGTGACACACTTGAGCTGCTCCGTGGGCTCGTTCTCAGTGGAGGCCGAACGAGGAGAAGCGCTACCTTCCTGTTTTAGCTCTGATATTGTGGACAAGGATCCTTTTTGCCCTCTGTTTAGTGCCACGCTTTCCCATTTTTGTGCCTTTTGTTGGTGATTTTGCTGTTTGAAGGGGCCCTGGGCCCAGTGTTGAAGAGCTGTCTATGTTCTTGAGCCGGGAAGCTGGGAAGCGCTGAGAAAGTATGAGTATCCAATGGGCGTCGTTCAGGCCTGAGTTACAGAGCCCTGGCCGTGAGCTCCACGCAACCAATCAACAGCATACATTAAATTACATGTCTTTAAATAGAAAGACATATAAAACAAGGTCGTGTGTTGGTCAGTGGATGGAAATGTGGTGACCAGAGGCTCAGGGACTCTCCTGGGAGTAATGGTTCAGTGTTCACTAAGACAGTGTTTGCAGCAACTTTGTGGAAATGACCACTGTGAGGACCAAGAATGGACTGTGTGTGTTTTGCCTGTGTTATCAAAATCTATCCTTGTTGGGTTGAAGACTTAGAGCAAGGTTTTCACTGTTGTTCAGTTGCTGTAACACTCCTAGTACTTCTAGTGCTAGCTTGCAGCTCTGCCCTATTCCTACCTACCAAGGTAACCGCAGCCTGTGTTAGGTCCCAATCCCTTGACTAAATGGATCTCAAGATTCTTTTTTTTTTTAAATTTTTTATTGTTATGTTAATCACCATACATTACATCATGAGTTTTAGATGTAGTGTTCCATGATTCATTGTTTGTGCATAACACCCAGTGCTCCATGCAGAATGTGCCCTCCTCAATACCCACCACCAGGCCAACCCATCCTCCCACCCCCCTCCCCTCTAGAACCCTCAGTTTGTTTTTCAGAGTCCGTCATCTCTCATGGTTCGTCTACCCCTCCGATTTCCCCCCCTTCATTCTTCCCCTCCTGCTATCTTCTTCTTCTTTTTTCTTAACATATAATGTATTATTTGCTTCAGAGGTACAGATCTGTGATTCAACAGTCTTGCACAATTCACAGCACTCACCATAGCACATACCCTCCCCAGTGTCTATCACCCAGCCACCCCATCCCTCCCACCCAACCCCCCACTCCAGCAACCCTCAGTTTGTTTCCTGAGATTAAGAATTCCTCATATCAGTGAGGTCATATGATACATGTCTTTCTCTGATTGACTTATTTCGCTCAGCATAACACCCTCCAGTTCCATCCACATCGTTGCAAAAGGCAAGATTTCATTCCTTTTGATGGCTGCATAATATTCCATTGTATATATATACCACATCTTCTTTATCCATTCATCTGTCGATGGACATCTTGGCTCTTTGCACAGTTTGGCTATTGTGGACATTGCTGCTATAAACATCGGGGTACACGTACCCCTTCGCATCCCTACATTTGTATCTTTGGGGTAAATACCCAGTAGTGCAATTGCTGGATCATTTGGTAGCTCTGTCTTCAACTTTTTGAGGAACCTCCATACTGTTTTCCAGAGTGGCTGCACCAGCTTGCATTCCCACCAACAGTGTAGGAGGGTTCCCCTTTCTCCGCATCCCCTCCAACATCTGTTGTTTCCTGACTTGTTAATTTTAGCCATCTGACTGGTGCGAGGTGGTATCTCATTGAGGTTTTGATTTGGATTTCCCTGATGCCGAGTGATGTTGAGCACTTTTTCATGTGTCTGTTGGCCATTTGGATGTCTTCTTTGGAAAAATGTCTGTTCATGTCTTTTGCCCATTTCTTGATTGGATTCTTTGTTCTTTGGGTGTTGAGTTTGGTAACTTCTTTATAGATTTTGGATACTAGCCCTTTATCTGATATGTCATTTGCAAATATCTTCTCCCATTCTGTCGGTTATCTTTTGGTTTTGTTGACTGTTTCTTTTGCTGTGCAAAAGCTTTTTATCTTGATGAAGTCCTAATAGTTCATTTTTGCCCTTGCTTCCCTTGCCTTTGGTGATGTTTCTAGGAAGAAGTTGCTGTGGCTGAGGTCGAAGAGGTTGCTGCCTGTGTTCTCCTTTAGGATTTTGATGGACTCCTGTCTCACATTTAGGTCTTTCAACCATTTGGAGTCTATTTTTGTGTGTGGTGTAAGGAAATGGTCCAGTTTCATTCTTCTGCATGTGGCTATCCAATTTTCCCAACACCATTTGTTGAAGAGACTGTCTTTTTCCCATTGGATATTCTTTCCTGCTTTGTCAAAGACTAGTTGACCATAGAGTTGAGGGTCCATTTCTGGGCTCTCTATTCTGTTCCATTGATCTATGTGTGTTTTTATGCCAGTACCATACTGTCTTGATGATGACAGCTTTGTAATAGAGCTGGAAGTCCGGAATTGTGATGCCACCAGCTTTTCTTTTCTTTTCTTTCTTTTTTTTTTAAAGATTTTATTTATTCATTCATGAGAGACAGAGAGAGAGAGAGAGAGAGAGAGGCAGAGGGAGAAGCAGGCTCCCAAGGAGCAGGGAGCCCAATGCGGGACTCGATCCCAGGACCCTGGGATCATGACCCGAGCCGAAGGCAGACGCTCAACCATCTGAGCCACCCAGGCGCCCTGCTTTTCTTTTTCAACATTCCTCTGGCTATTCGGGGTCTTTTCTGGTTCCATACAAATTTTAGGATTATTTGTTCCATTTCTTTGAAAAAAGTGGATGGTATTTTGATGGGGATTGCATTGAATGTGTAGACTGCTCTAGGTAGCATTGACATCTTCACAATATTTGTTCTTCCAATCCATGAGCATGGAACGTTTTGCCATTTCTTTGTGTCTTCCTCAATTTCTTTCATGAGTATTTTGGATCTCAAGATTCTTAACTAATTACATCTGCAAAGCCCTAATTATGAGTAAGGTCATATTCTGAGTTTCTGGGTGGAAATAAGATTTTGAGGGAGACCAGTCAACCACCACGGTGTTATATAGAGAGCTGGCTTCCTAATGGTAGCAAACCCATTGGCTGTCTATTCCATATCCATCTTTCTTCTTTTTGGAGAGCCAGACCACAGTTTTGTTGGTAATGGCAATGAGCTCAGCCCCAGGCAGGCAACAGGATCAGTCTAGGGCAATCGAGGGAGCCCTTTTCTTTGATATCCCACCTTCCCTCTAGGCTGGAGTGGGGGCATGGGATTCAGTTCGGCCAGTGAAGTTTTATGTGCTGGGGGAGTTTCTGAGAAAGTTAGTGCTTTCCTGTAGTAGGGGATGGATGTGGTTAGCACAGTTCCCTGCCTCTTCCCCATCTTCTTGCCTGGAATGCAGATTGGTTCTGCAGCAGCTGCTTGCAACCATGAAGAGGCAAGGATAAGGCAATAGCTCATTTGATCGGGTGGCCAGTGGAAATGACAAAGACTTGGTCTCTGAAGGCATCACTGAGCAGCCCAGCCTGCCTCCCGTGTTCTTCTTATGTGAGAAAAACAGGTTCCTGCAGCTGAGATAGCTACTTGCCCACCAAAACCTTCCTCCTTCTTTCTGGACAAACAGGTGGACTACATTTCCCATCTGCTGTTACAGTTAGATGTGGCTGTGGGACTGGGTTTGAGCCAATGGAATACAAGCAGAGTGATGGACGCCACTTCCAGATCTGGCCCCCGGACACCACCATGGTGTCCTTCCAGCCTCTTTGTCCTTTGCCTGCTGGGGGTGCATGGTATGGCCAGGCTCAAGGTAGGTGAAAGCAGCTGGCCTCTGAGTACTGGGGGAGCAGCATGCCCACCCATCAGAAATACCTGCCTTGGACAGGTAGGAACAAGAAATCAGCTTCTAACCTGCCAGCATCATTCCACATTGTGAGGTCAGTTCTTGTGGTCCGTGATGTGCTAACAAAAGTGAGCTTTGTGTGTCCATCCCAGGGGCCTCTGTGGGCAGTGGCATCCCCAAAAGCAAGGTGGTCTCTGCAGGGGGAAGATTTCTGATATGGGCTCCTACAGTGTGCTTCCACAGTGGGCAGAATCCCTTCCCTGCTGAAACGAGTCCCACTTGGCTGGCCCTGGCCAGGCCTGACCGGTAAGCCTGCTGATGGCCAGCCCCGCTTTCTCAGCTGGCCGAATCCGGATTTCTGCTCCCTAATTGTTGGCTCTGATGCTTTCTGCTTGGGCTGTGGAGTGCTGTGGTCACCAGCCAGGCCTTGGCACTGGCCGCCTGGCCTGCCCCCTGCCCCCTTGGCCACAACCTTGAACCACCCTGAGACCCCACTCCCTCATCACAGCTGGAACCCCTCTCTCAGACAACTGGGGTGAGGATTCCAGGGATGGCACTTGTTCGGGGCTCGGGACCTTGCAAGCACTCAGCAAACAGGAGGGATTCTTGGTAGTGCTGTTACATTAAGCCTCAAGGCAGAGCCTCAGGGAGGCCTCAGTATCCTTCTGCTGGGACATGTGACATCCCTGAGAACTTGGCCTGTCAGCGGTAGACGGACCTTCAGGCAGGGCAGGTAGTGACAGGACGGAGACAGCACTGGAAGGAATGCTTCTGGAATGGCGAGGCAGGTCACCAGCTGTGACTGCAGTGGAACACCGGGGCGGCACTCGGGCGTGCTCATTATTACGGCCATCTTCGGGGTGGAGGAGCCGGGATTCCGAGTGGACGAGTCCGAGGAAGGGAAGGGCAGGACGGAGGTGGGGCTCGGGGTTCTTAACCCAGCTCCCGTGAGGATGGGATGCTGAGGAGTGTCCTGTTCTCTGCGGGGGCAGGAGGTGTGCTGCGACCTTGGGACGCAGGCCCAACGACAGACTCAGGGGACACAAAGCAGAGACCGGCTCCGAAGGGGACCTGCCGGGGAAGGCAAACAGCTCTAAGTGGCAGGCAGTTGGCCTGGCCGTTTGTGCCAGCCGTAATCCCTGCGGGTCCAGCCCGAGCTGGTCCCCGAGCGCGTGCTGGCCCAGGCTCCACCCGCATGCAGTGTATCCCTTTTCTGTTTAAAGAACTAGCTTTCAAATGTTCTTAATAAAACGTTTGTATATATCATGCAAGGTACAAATAAATGTTTTAATGTAATTGGAAGAATGCAGAGAATTGTAAAAAGTTATGGAAGTCTTACTTCTGATCGGCCGAGACTCAATAAACTCCGGTTTGATGTACTCTAATTTATGGGCGTGCAAAGCCGACCCTTTGGCATCGAGCAAGCCTGTTAATGCTGTAATGATGTTTAAATGCTGACAAATGAACTGCTTGGGCCACACCTTCAACACCGAGGAAGGAATCGTTAGAGCTGGAAGGTCTGCCTTGTGCATGCTTTCCTTCCTTCCTCTTGGCGGCTGGGGCAGGGAAGGGGCAGAGAGGAGTGTGCATCAGGGCCACGGGGCTTCCCGTGGGCCAAGGTGTGGGCACCCAGGGAAAGCGTGGTGTTCCTTCCTTTTCACTCTTGCCCCTAATTATGGACTTTCTCATTAAAATAACAAGGACCATGTCAGCTAGAAATGCCAGTGCATGTTTTTACTTTTCTCGGCTGATGGAAACCACATGTAGAACCTAGCCCTTCCTTTTTTCCCTCCAAAATGCAAATGGGAAAGCTGGTCCAGGGGTCCACCTTGTAGCTCAGTGCAGAGCAGAGGTTCCCGGGAGCCCCTCTGCCTCCCTGCGCCAGGATGCGGATTGGGCTTCTCCAGGCACCCCTTGGCCTGCCCTGCTGGGGAGGCTGGCCCACGGGGTGCTGGGCTAATTTTAACCTCCTGATGGATCACATCTGGCTCCCGGTCGCCAGGTCCCCCTCTGCTCGCTGGGGCGGTGCGTTTTCCCACGGCAGGCGCAACCCAAGCAGACCTGCCTGGTTATTTATAAACTCCCCTGAATGCCAAAGCGCCACGAATGATCCACTCCCCCATTCATAGGAACATATTTTCGGCATAACTCATCACTTTGAAGATGGGTCCAAGCTTTTGTTCACATTTATTGACAGGAAGTTGTTATTCAAAGCCCCAGTCAGCAGGCGGGCCCCGCGCCAAGCGGCTCCGGCACCCTCTCTAGCTGGCGCGGTGCTGTGGGCCCGCGAATTGTGCCTGCCCCCCCCCGCCCCGGAGGATTTGCCTGGAGGTTAGACAGGACCCCCCCCCCCCCTTTGTAAGGGCTCTTCCTTTTTAAACATTTTTCCTTTCTTTTTGAAAAAGAAAACCATTTATTGGAGTGTAAGAGGTTCCTTGCCTGTGAACTTCTTCAAGGTTTGTGGGGCTCTCCCTGACTTCCTCTGTCCTGCGTTGGCCACTCTCTGAGGGCACCCTCCTGGATGGATCTTCTCTGGACAAGTGTTCCCTTCCCCACGCCTCCGGCTTGAGCGGAATCCGGAGACCACCGAGGCTGGACTCCTGTGGAGTCCGTCCTGGGCCTGCTCAACCCCACTGGGGACAGGCTGTGGTGGGGCTCAGAGTTCAGAGTCACATACTCTCCCCAGACCTCTCTGCCCTCAGCTGGGCAAGGGCAGTTCTCGGGCAGGTGCCCAGCCCGTGGGGCCGCCTGGAAGAGGCCCAGGTCTGTGGGCTCTTGCACAGCTTCTGCCTCGTGTCCACACACTCCCTGCAGGACTAACCTGGCGCAAGTGCTGCTTCAGTCTCCTGGGCCTCAGACCTCCAAGTCTAGCCCTCGCAGGACATCTCCCCAGATGCCCCACAAATGTTCCCAGCCGCTATAGACGTGCTCATCTCTCCTTTCACCAGCCTCCCTGTGACCCCGACCAGAAGCCCAGGACGCCCCAGCTTCCGGTCCCTAACTGGCTGCCGAATGTTCCTTGGGGCTTACCGCTCTTACCTGCCCCACATCCCGCATGATCCTTTTCAGGTGCTCACTTCCCTTCTGGATTGTTCTCAGACTTCAGAGGTTTACTTCTCTGGGCCTCAAACTCCTTGCCTGTAAACTGGGGGTCATGCTAGTGTCCACCTCACAGGGGGTGATGGGCATCTCATGGATCCATACTTAGGAAGTGCTTAGGACAGCTCGCAGGGGCTAGATGAGGTGTGGCGTTGTTATTTTCTCGGAAGTCTCTGTCACCTTCCTGCTCTGACCTGCTCCATGCCTCACACAACCCCTGGGAGGATTCTTCAAAAATGCACACTGATTCTACCATCCTGACGTCTCCACTCCGCGACCGATCTCCGGACCCTTGGGGTTCCGCCCTCATCCTCTGCACGGGCCGCAGGCCCCAGGGGCACCTAAAATGCACAGGTGGATGAGATCCCGGGATAGGTTGGAGTGACATGGGAATTAGGGATTAAGGGGTCATGCTCCCCGTGGTGTCCCCTTGCCTGATCCTGCCTAGTGAGGGGTCAATTTATTATTTATTTTTTTTGTTTTTAGCTTCGACAATGGCCCAGACACCAAAGTAGACCGATGTCTTTCTGTGTCGCTATGCGTCTAAACTTCTGAACCTGGACAGCACTGAGAGTTAACATTTTTGGTGGAACTGGGGAGCAGTGGGGAGGTAGCAGTATGGGAAAATTTTCGTGGGACCATTTGGACTTGGAAGAACTAGTGGATGCCGTGGCTCATGGCTGGGCCGCAAGGGCCAGCCCTGCTGTGGTGGATGGTGCCTAACGCTTGGGTCAGGCTGCCACCTGGAGCCGGGGGCGGGGGGGGGGGGTTCTCCTTCCTGCGGCTCTGCGTGGGAATCCTGTGGCTGCTTGCTCCCGGGGTGGGGTGGGGTCGTTCTGGAGATGGTGGCCTTGGTGTAGGAGGCCTGACCACAGGTGCTGGGTGTGGCCAGAACTGGGAGGGTGTGGGTTTGTTCATTTTGTTTTCAAATATTAGCACCGGGACAGAAGGCCCTGGTCTGTTGGGAGCCCTGGCCGAGCCTCCTGTGCTTGGGAAGAACAAGCTATAGCGGCAGTGGGTACTGACTGACTTCAGCTGGCCAGCGCCTAACTACCCACCTGACATGGGGCGATCTGCCCGCCCACCTCGTGTTTCGGCCTGTTTATCTGGGAAGGGGCGGTTGGACTGGCTGGTCCCAGGCCCATTCTGGGCAGGGCTCCATGCCCACTGCGGAGCCTGCTGATGCCCCACAAACACGACAATGTGCGCGCCGCCGCTGAAGAGGAGGTGGCTGTGACAGGAACCTGGCGGGTCCACCAGCCTCCTCGGGGTGGGCCTCCCCCGGATCTGGGAGCCCCGGCTGGCAGAGAACGCACAGTGGCCAACGTACGGCTGGGCTGGGCGGTGCGGCTGGCATCCTGGCACTCCTGTCCCCCGCTGTCCCCGCTGCCAGCCTCTTGTTGGGGGGTCCGTGGGCTCAGCGCCATGCAGCTGCCTCCCGAGGACACCTCCTGCCTCCCCCCACCGGGGCCCTGCTGCCCCCCGTTCTCTTGGCACGGCAGCACGGCCCTCTCTGGTCCCTTTCATCACGTTGGGGGGTACTCTGTCCACATTCTCAGGTGGAAATATTTAAGGCCCGTCCCAACAGCCACCCCTCTGGATTTCCCTGCCCCAGCGCCATGCCCCCCTGCAAATGGGGCCCACATGTACAGCGATGCAGGATGGAGACAGGCCCGGCCTGCCAAGAATGTGGTGGGAAGCCTCCCTGGGTGCAGGGATGCCTTGAAGGGAGCTATGCGTGAGCCCGCGGGGAAAGCAGCGTCTTCCTCCCGCCTGGAGCCACCACAGGAGACCCCCTCGGAGTGGGAGGGTCTGCCGTGGCAGCCAGATGCTGCGAAGTGGCATGGGGACAGGAGGGAGAGGTGAGGGGGTGGGGGGCACGCCGCATGACCCCCACCTGGGCCGGGGAGTGGGCTTACTTCGCCCCCCAAAAAGTCAGACTTGGTCTCCCCAGCCTCCCTCTCCCAGGCTGAAGGAGACTGAGATGCCCTTCCTGCGTCCCTGGGACGCCATGTGGACCTTCCCCGGGTCCTCGGCCGGCCGGTGGGTGTGGGCGCTACGTGTACTTCCTGCGCCTGTTCGGCTTGCGTCTGTCTTCGAAACTTGCAACCTTGAAAACATGCTACATTCAGTTCCATTTGATCCTCAGGGTAACTCCCGAAAATGAGTTGCATCGCCACGGGAGAGGCTCGTGGAGGATGACTTTTCCGAGTCTGGGGGTCTCAGTGGCCGTGGAGGCATCCGAACCTGTCTTCTCAGCCCACAGCCATCCTCTGTTTTTCCTGTTTGTGAGTGCCTTGGAGACAGGTCTGTGCCTTGTCTATCCCTTTGGTTCCAGGTCTGGGGAGAAGTGGCCAGGGATTGGGTGTGAAAATTGGCTGAGCTGGGCTTGAGCATGACGGGGCAGGGAGGCTGGGGGCTCTCCTCTTGGACTACCAGCCAGTCCGAGCTAGGACCCAGGTCAGCCCACAGACATGCCCCTGCTCCCAGCCTTGGCCTCAGCTGGAGGGGTATCCCAACCATGCACTCCCTGAGGGGTGGACAGATGGGTGAATCAGTGTTTGCATGAGTGTGAAGAATTCACATTCACCAAAGAGCCCGGGCTGGCTGGGAGCCCATGCCTCTCTGTACCATCACCCTGGCCCCTTTGGGGGAGTGTGAAATCAAGCCGGGAGGGTGAGTGCAGAATTCCTTGGAAGAAAGACACATGCATGCACTACTTCTAGCTTATTCTGGCCACTCTCATCCCAGTGACCCAGTGGCTGCCTGCCCATCCCTTACACTTTGCACTTGGACCCACCACTCCTACTTTATGCCCTGATAGCCAAGTAAGACCAGCCAGCAACCACCACAGCACTGGTCAAAGGGAACCTCCTAGACCCCCCTCTGGGAGTCCCCCTGTGGGTTTGTCCCCCAGCTTGTCCATGTCTGCTGGCCCCTGGGTCTGATAGTCCTGGGCTTCTGTTCCTCCACTGGCTCTTGCTCTGCTGCTTTCCTATGGCTCACCTCCGGAGAGGAGACCCATGCTCAGGTCAGCCCCTGCCCTGGCCAGGGAAGCACAAAGGGGCTGGCAGTCAGTTCTTCTCCATGGCTAACTTCCTTTCGATGCACTAAGACTTCCAGTTTTTGATGGGGAAAAGCCAGGAAGTCATGACTCAAATAGTAAAACCTCTTCTATTGGAAGCCAGTATTAGCTCTTTCTCCTTGAGGAGCAATTGCAGTCCATGCATCACCCCAGACAGATTGGGTCATACTGAGTTATGGTACAATGAAAATCATTCCTGCCAAGAGAGAGCAAATGCACATGAAAGGCGGGGTGAGTCACGCCAGCTCTGTATGTCCCTGGCAGAGGTTTGAGACACCTCCCCCTGCGACCCAAACAGTCTGCGACCCAGGTGCCAGCCTCAGGCAGCTCTGGAACCCAGCATGTTCCCCCAAGACCATGCAGCATCCAATGTCGTCAAGCCCCACCTTCTAGGGCCCACCGCCCCATGCCTGGACACCTCTTGCTCTCTTCTGGTTTATTTCCAATTTCTAGACAGTCTACCCTTCACCTAGCATCACTTGGCTGGAAATTGCACAATTTCCATGTTAGGACAATATTTTATTTTATTTATTTAAAAAAAAATTTTTATTTTATTAAGTTATGTTAGTCACCATACAATACATCATTAGTTTTTGATGTGGTGATCCACGATCCATTGTTTTCGCATAACACCCAGTGCTCCATGCAGTACGTGCCCTCCTTAATACCCATCTCCAGGCTAGCCCATCCCCCCTCCCCCCTCCCCCCTCCCCTCTAAAACCCTGTTTGTTTCTCAGAGTCCATAGTCTCTCATGGTTCGTCTCCCCCTCCGATTTCCCCCCCCTTCATTTTTCCCTTCCTCCTCCTAATGTCCTCCATGATATTCCTTATGTTCCACAAGTAAGTGAAACCATATAA